GGATTACACCTTGTTCTGGGGATGTGAGATGAGTTTCTAGAACTCCTTTATATGTTGGTGGTGTTTTTGCAAACATAGTGTAACCCTTGTGAACTAAATGATGCAACCATTTGTTCAAAGTGCATGTTTCCTGCTACGCCACGCTGCACTCCGAGAGTGGGAACGCGTGAATGTTTTGTTTTGAACGGGCGAAACAATAACTGAGCCTCTATCACCGTCGTATCCTGTGGGGGGCTTCGCCCACACTGACCCATGGGAGGCTGGCATGAAAAGAGACGTTTATTGGTATCTATTTAACGGTTCTTACAATGTTCACCGGCCATGCCCAGTTGGGGAGGAGAACCTGCATTAGCGGCTGAACAAAACATGCGCCGCTTCAGTGTAGGTTCACCTTCAGCATTCACTTCTGTCGGCCGGTCAGGAAAAAGAGACAGATAACTCCTGCGTAAAGCTTTGGCTATAACTACAGGTTCATGTTTTTTATCTGAGTATGTGGAGACAGAAAGGTCCCTGTATTGTTTGTCAAACATCTTACCACTCTGTGCTTTCTGACAGCTGTCAGTGCTCGCCTGACAAGCGAGGAGGCAGGGCTGGTGGGTAAGTGGAAGAGTCTCTGAGCACAGCCCCTCCAACTTTTCCTGTTTGTGTGTCATTACACCAAGTTTGTTTTTCTTTTTGTTTACCTTTGAATGGTTGCCTCAGGCTAACCTTTTCATTAATTGTGGGAGATGTGCTTACAAAAAACGGAACAATTGAATTCAGCCTGTCTGAATGAAAAACTCCGCTTTTTGAGAAAGGTTTTTTACTTTTTATTTTAAAAACCCTGCTCATTTTTCCCCCCCCCCCCCCCCCCCCCAAGCCGTCATTTTTTTTGTACTGCCTCCTCCGCGTGTCCTTCATCTGATTAGGCCACGGGCCAGTCTGTTGCTGGCCTCGGCCTCAGAACTTTGTTGCATCTGGGACAATTGTCCTATGGGAAAGGCTGGTGGGGGGCCCCCAAAGAAGGTTGCAGCGGGCGTGGAACATCTTTGCTGCTGGTGCTGGAACCTGCTCTGCTTCCGCCAGTGGCTAGGGGTCTGGGAGTCTGCTTGGGGTAGGGTCACGTGTCTCCGCACCTGTTCCAGTGTCAGATGAGGACTGCAGTTGGTTCAAGAGAGGACTGCAGTTGGTTCAAGACCAACTGAAAATGAGATCCGAAGAGACCATCTGAAGACACAGGACCTTCCAGGAGTTATTTAACATCCTCTGGAATGGACGGAGACACTTTCAACCACATCTGTCTCTGCAGCAACGTTGCCCAGGACGAGATGCGGGAGAAGCACACTGCAAGCGCCGCATATAGGTTGGTGATCATGTCTGCAGCCATGCCGATCTGGTCTAAATCTATGGGGAATAGGTTTGGTTCCTTTGCCTCCTTAGCTATGCTAAGGGCTAGCATAGCGATGTTGTTGGTTGCTGCTCTCACCTGCGACAAGCACTGATGAATTATGTCCGTCAGCTTTGCGGTGAGCTGGTCACTGGAAGATGGCGGGATGATACGTCGGCCGACGTATTTCGCTGTTCTTACCCCAAAAACAGCCGACAAACTGAGCTCTAGGGGAGGGACGGTGGGAAAACCCTGGTTCGTGAGAAACTTTGACTTTGGTGATGGCCACGTAGGAGGCAACCGGAGCCCTCAGCTTTAATGGGTCGTTGGCTGAAACCAGGAGGAGGGAAGACACAGCTGGGAAACAGGGCCAGACCGAGTCCCATTGTCCATTGTGCTGAGCAGCAAACCTTCCCACAAGAAGTGTCGATGTGGCCGCGGCCACTAGTTCGGGCAGTTCCAGGTCGCAGGCTCTCGCCGATCTCCCGATTATCTCAGGGATCATATCCCCGACTCCAGCGTTTCATTGCCAGGCTTTCTGACCATACGAGCAGATAGAGATTTAAAGAGGAGTGGCAAAAGGAAAGGAGGTGGGTTGGCAGTGCTTGTGAACAACAGATGGTGTAATCCTGGACATGTTACTGTGAAGTGTCGTCTCTGCAGTCCAGATATTGAACTGTTAGCACTAAGTTGTCATCCATATTATTTGCCAAGAGAGTTCACCAGTGTTATTTTGGCAACTGTTTACATTCAACCCAATGCTGTTGCTGATACTGCGTGTGATGCCATCAGCTCCGAGGTTGCTAAGCTACAAACACAACACCCTAGTGCGTTTGTTACAATATCTGGGGATTCTAATCATGCCTCTCTCTCTGCTACACTTCCGACATTCGAACAGTTTGTCAGCTGCTCTACCAGAGAAAACAAAACCCTGGACTTGTTTTATGCAAATGTCAAGGATTTATACATCGCTAAAGCAAGACCCCCTCTTGGCAAATCAGATCACAATCTTGTGTGTCTCTGCTCAAAATATAAACCCCTTGTTCAGAGGCAACCTGCAATAAAGAGAATAGTGAGAAAATGGTCAATGGAAGCTGAAGAAGCCCTGTGGGGTTGTTTTGACGCTACAGACTGGGATGCACTGTGCCAGCCACATGGAGAGGACATTAATGCCATGACTGAGTGTGTGACCGACTATATAAACTTCTGTGTAAACAACACCATCCCCACCAGAACAGCGAGATGCTTCCCCAATAACAAACCCTGGATTACCACTGACCTGAAGGAACTGCTAAACCAGAAAAAAAGAGCCTTCAGGGAGGGAGACAGGGAATTATTGAAGAGCACACAGAAGCAACTAAAAGTCAAGATAAGAGACAGCAAGGAGGTGTACAAGAAGAAGCTGGAGAGCAAACTCCAACAGAACAAAATCAGAGAGGTGTGGTCAGGGATGAAACAGATCACAGGCTTCAAGCAGAAGGAGGATCAGAAGGATGGAAGCCTGGACAGAGCCAATGAACTGAACACATTCTTCAATAGGTTCAGTTCAGGAACAAGCTCAGCATCCTCCTCTCTTGCCCACAGCCAAACATACATACCACCCTCCATTGACCCAAGGCTGTCCTGTCACACCTCAAATATTGTATCTACCACCTCAGTCATGGACCCTTCTTCTACATATTGGTCTTTAACTAAATCAGAAGATGCTGATACCTCATTTGCCTCCCACCTCTGCGTCTCCAGAAGTCAGGTGAGGAAGTAGCTGGAGAGACTGAACCGGAATAAGGCTGCAGGTCCAGATGGTGTCAGTCCCAGAGTCCTGAAGGTCTGTGCAGAGCAGCTCTGTGGGGTTCTGCAGCACCTCTTCAACCTTAGCCTGACCCAGGAGAAGGTTCCAGTGTTGTGGAAAACATCCTGTCTTGTTCCAGTGCCAAAGAAAACACACCCATCAGTCCTCAATGACTATAGACCTCTTGCCCTGACATCCCACATCATGAAGGTCCTAGAGAGACTTCTGCTGACCCACCTGACTAGGCAAACAAGCACATATCAGGACCCACTGCAGTTTGCTTATCAGCGTGGACTTGGAGTTGAAGATGCCATCATACACCTGCTTCAGCAAACTCACTGTCATCTAGAAAAGGCAGACAGCACTGTGAGAGTCATGTTCTTTGATTTCTCCAGTGCATTTTAACACAATCCAGCCTGATTTGCTTTGTCAGAAACTACAGAAGACTCAGGTGGAGGCCTCAACAATCGCCTGGATCAAAGACTACCTGACAGACAGACCACAGTTTGTGAGACTGAAGGGTTGTGTGTCTAGCCAGGTGGTCAGTAGGTCAGGAGCACCACAGGGGACTGTATTCTCACCATTCCTTTTCACTCTGTGCACCTCAGATTACCAGTACAAAACAGACTCCTGTCATCTGCAGAAATATTCTGATGACTCTGCAGTGGTCGGGTGTATCAGAGATGGACAAGAAGCTGAGTACAGGGAACTGGTGGACCGCTTTGTGGCATGGTGTGGAAACAATCATCTCATCTTGAATGTGAACAAAACAAAGGAGATGATTGTAGATTTCAGGAGAATCAGGAACAGATCCAACCCTATTTTCATCATGGGAGAAGAAGTGGAGGTGGTGGAGAAGTATAAATAACTTGGAGTTCACCTGGACAATAGACTGGACTGGAAATGCAACAGTGAAGCCGTCTACAAGAAGGGACAGAGCAGACTGTACTTCTTGAGGAAGCTGAAGTCCTTCAACGTTTGCAGCAAGATGCTGCATATCTTCTATAAGTCTGTTGTAGAGAGTGCCATCTCTTCTGCCATCATCTGCTGGGGTAGCAGCACCAGAGCAAGTGACTTAAAAAAAGATCAACAAGCTCATAAAGAAGGCTTCTCAGTTCTGGGGACTCCTCTAGAACCTTTGGAGATGATTGTTCAAAGAAGGATTCTTCATAAAATGAAGAACATTA